CGCGTGTCGTAAAATTAATTAGAGAAACAAAGAGATGTAGCTCCTGTGTGCTTGTGTATGTATACATCGAACATATTTATATATATTACATAGGTATGATCAAGGCCTGTATTTAAATTTCTAATCTCTCGCGCATTTCACTTGCAAATGAGATGCAGCGAGTAAATAGCACTCTCCATCCATCCCTTTCTCTCTCTCTCTCTCTCTCTCTCTCTCTCTCTCTCTTTGCCTTTCTCGCCCATCTTGTCGCGCGAAGAATGATTAATCGAAAATGTTAATTTCGTTTATGGGTCATTGACTATATCGGGTTTCTCCTACGCGCGCTGCGTCGTGTATAGGTGCAATACGTTACAAGTCAAATGTTGATCAATTAAGTCCTGGCCTAGGATAGCTAAAAATACTCGCAGACTGAATTTTTTGTTGTTGCAAATTCAATCTCAATACGTGGGAAAAATTATACCGACGAAATGTTACATTGAGCTAAAATGTATAATTAGAATGAAATTTGCTCGTGATGTACTATAAGAGGGAGCTTTTCGTCCCCGTCCTTAGCTCGTCCTTGATTTCTAATGGCAGTTGAAAAAAATTGTCCCTTGTCACGTTGATTTTTTTTTGCTGGTGTTTAATATTTGACGGACGATACAAAAGTGGTACGTTAATGCCAAAATCTAATTAAAAATTTCAACTTTTTTTGAGAACGACTGTTTTTTTTAATTCAAGTTAATCATGCACGCTCGATTTTTATATTTATACGCGGGGAATCTCGCTCATTTTTTAAGGTTGATTATCTGACTCTTTTTTGTTGTACGAGTGACCCATTGGAGTTTCCGAGAAAGTTTTAACGATATACGTGCGGTATAACGGCGATCCTTGTAATTATGAAAAGAAGCTCATAATAATTGTCCATTATGCGAAAGTATTAAAACCCCCTCGCAGGAAAGTGTATTATCTAAACTTCTTAAAAGCTCAACTTTAAATATTCAAGACTTATTCGTGCACGCAAAAAGATAACGCAATCTGTATGATGGTGCGTGATGTATGACGGGGGTTTCTGCTACCAAAAAAACTTTTAACAATTCATTGGTAAGAAGTTTCCCTCTTAAAAGTAATAAGTTATTTGTATTGATTAACAGACTTACATTACTTCTCGTGTCTCTCCTTCATCTAGAGGTTACAAATAAGCCCATGTCCAGAATATTGTGAGCTCTTTCCAGAATCATGCTCCGACTTATAGAATTATTTTAACTTTACCGCTAGCAGATTCAAAGATAAAGGTATACTCGCCATCTATTGTCAGAGACTTAAACTAGAATTGTCTTTTCAACATTCGTCGAGAATTGGTTTGAATTATTTGAAACAGTTAAAATGTAATTTTCATGTCATTTAAAATGTGCACTTGATATGTGTAACATAATAGTTCAAGAAAAATCGCTAAAAACTAGTATTAGTTTAGATCGGATGACCAGTTGCTTTAGGCTATTATTTGGTATCAGGTAATGTATTTGTTATTTTTATTAGTTCATTTTGTATTTCAAGTTTTGTAGTATTTTTTACTTAATACAAACACTCAAATTTCATAATCCAAATAAAGACATCAAAAAGAGAACGAACGATTTTTATTAATATTTTTTGCGAAGATTCGGATAATTTTCACAAAATTGCTTCCTTTCCTTGCATTTATAAGCTTTTTTCATATTCATTGAACCTCTATCAAATACACAGTATCAAATTGACTCGAATTTATATATGTCACGCGGTATTCGTCAAAGCACATGGCAAAAAAAGGCTCTAAATATAATGACGGAGCTATATAGCTGTGCTCGTCACGTCAGCTATGCGCGTTTGCGAACGCGAAGCGAAATCTTAACGAGAGGACGAAGCAGCTCCGCTCAGTACAGTAGATACAGACTACAGAGAGAAACACTGTTGCTGCGCGCGGCGTTCCAACCGGGCACCGGACTACATAGATAATACCTAACGACGTATCTTCGCTTCCTCGGTATATACACAAGCGTCGGCGGCGGCGGCGGCCCTTGCGGTCGATGGTATTAGTGCTTTTGCATAGATAACTTGATCTCTCCCTCTCTCCTTCTCTTTTCTCTGTGTCTCGCTACATTGGCCGCGCAGTGCACCGACTTATACACAATTATACTCCCTAAACTAAACATTATACAGAGACATGTAAATACGTCTATATAATATAGACGTTTTGCTGCTCAGCGCGAGACAAGGGCCAAGAAGTACACATACACACACAGTACCAACTTGGACCGCAAAGCTGTTATATATATAGCTGCACACGATGTTGCGCGAATGGACGTGCACAAGTATATACATATAGGTGCTGCATGCATGTATATAAGTTTTCTACTCGACCCATCGGGCGCTCGCCCAGGCCAGACCCGTACCGTCAGCGACCTTATATACACAGGTATATTATACAACGTATATGTACGGTTCCTCTTGTTACACTTTGACTCTCTCTCGCGGGCGCCTCTGGCTCGACGACACGAGCTTTTGAACCTGCGGCACAGCAGCTCCGCGAACCCACCCCCGCAGTCGCGCGGTCTTTTCTCTTTGTTTCGCGCGGCGGTGCGGACGGTCGTCGTCGTCGTCGTCGTCGTCGTCACTGCACCGATTCGACGCAGACCCCCTCGTTCTCTTCCTCTTTCTCTCTCCCTCATCTGCTTCTTCTTCTTCTTCGTGCTGCTGCTTCTCGTACGTGGCACGAATGTGTGCAGAGGCATGTACTCGAGGGCCGGTTCGTGTAATTAATGATACTAGGTCAAGTGCAAGCGAGTTGCTGCTGCTGCTATAGTCCCTCGCTTCCCTCTTCGCTCGGTCAGGTCGTTCTCTCGCTCTCTCGTTTCTCTAGCTTCTATACTTTTCGTTCTTTGCGATACATGATATATACTACTACTACTATAGCGAAATATAATGAGATCTACCATCCACTAGCCGCCGAGAGCAGTAGGCCAGCGGCAGAGCTGCAGCACACACAATACTCTGCCTGTGCCCTGCATCATCCCTTATGCATGCATCGTATATAGTATATGCAGCCCCTTTGGCAGCGCTCGAGCGGATCGTTATATATCTATACGCGATATACGAGTTAATAAATGAAATCGTCGTCGTGGCGTCCTTCCTCCGGCCTTTTACTGGAATACGTAAGCTGCCCGTATAACGAGAGCCGTTTTACAATGGAATAAAGTACGCGCCACCTCGGGCTAATAGTCGTACACTAATTTCGTATCACAGCCATACAATACAATAGTTATATGTGCACAGCGACGTCGAACGATCGTTTGTCCGGCGCCTGTGCACATTTCTCGCGTATTATATATGACATATACATATACATCACACACGTGTATAAATTGCCTCGCTGAGCTCTCGTTTATCGCGCGCGAGACTTAATACCGGAAATCAATCAATTTGTTCATGCACGAAGAACTCTCGTGACCGAACGACGGGAGCGCGAGCTCCAAAGAATCCTGTACGTGTGTACGTGTCTGTGTGAGATCGTCCTGGATGCGAGTGTTTAATAATCTCCGTCTCTCTCTCTCTTTCGAAGTAGCGGCTAATTGCGCTTCCGAGCTTTGTGGCGCCACGTCTATTGTGAGGCTATTCTCGCGACGATGTCAACATCGTGCCCGGGTCCATTTGCAGTGATTTACAATGAAAGTCGCGACTCTTCCAGCTCGAATCTCACGCGGATGAAACGTGTTTTAAAAATTTTTCCATCTCGAGTGTGCGATTCACGTAGATCGCTTTATTCACGCAGGAAAAAATGCATCACGGAGCATCGGCCAAACTATTCGGACGTAATTAACTTTTTTGCTCCTGCGTTTTGATCAACGAAATTGCGAGATGCGATCCTCGATACTCGATCGATTTTTATCCTATATATACCTCTGCGGTACGCGTATGGCCCAGTTATATATCGAATCTTTCGAGAGTTGGCTTTTCAAACCTCCGCTGCCGCCGCCGCGTGATAGGTGCTTCAATCGCTCGTTAGTGGCTGCGGGCTGTGCTCCCCCGGTTGCCGAGCAGCTGATAATTGAAGCGCCCGGGCGAGCACTCGAGGATACTCGCTGACTTTTTCTCCCTCTCTCTCTCTTTTTATTTAATTTTTAATGCAACAATTGCGAGTCGAGCTTGTGTGTGTTTTACCGAGGAAAGCAGCACCAGCTGCTGCTGCTGCTGCTGCTTCGATCACAATCAATTTTATCGCGCGATAATTCGGAATCTAGTTGCGCGTCGCGCACTAATTAGTGCAGACGACTCGGTGTTGCGTAGTCGCATCGCGCAATGTGTATGACGAACCAAACGAATCGATTACTTTTAATTGACACGCGGAAGGAGGGAATGATATCGATGTATTTTTAACGTCGACTCTCGTATACTTACACTTATACTTACTTAATCGGAAAAGGCCGAGGATTCAGTTTACTCGCTTCGTTTGTGTCTGCGACTTGTAGAGTATTATTATTTTCTGAACAGCTGATCCCGGATGAAAATTGCCTCGTAAAATAATAATAAATCTCTCCCTTGTTTGAATCGAGAATCGCGTTGAAATTCTATTTTTTTTGTGCTATACGTTTGGGATCAGTGCGTATATATATAAAAAAAGTTGGATGATTAGAGGACGAGGACGAAGGATGATTAAGCATCCGCGAGGAATAAAGCTCGTAAGCTTCAGCGGTGATATATTTTTAATTACTTCTCGGTTGGCGAGCGAATCTCTCTCTCTCCGTTGCATAAACTCTTTGAGTGCATAATGGAAAGTTGACCTGTAGCTTTTGCTATATCCACGAGGACGTCGCATTCACATGTATAATATGTAAAACCTCGGAAAGAAAGTGCTTCTTTCTTGAATTTATTTTTTTTTTTTGAAAAGGTATTCGAGAAACTTGGCTTACCGATTTTAACGAGAACGTATTTTGAAAATGTTTTATATCTGATGCGGCTTTGTGTGTTATATTTTATGAAGCTTCGGATTTTGAGTGAAAAATTATTTATTGAAACATCTGGTCACAGCTTTCATAATTTACATGAAAATATTTGAAATTACTTGGTAGCCGTGAATGACTGCTCGACGTCCTTTTAGTTGAGATCTTGGTCGTCGAACATATCGCCGAACTCTGAAAAAATATCGCAAAAAAAAATCGTTCTTAAAATTCAACACCTTTCATAGTATTTAATACGAAAAGAAGAATCTCGAAAATTCGACGATCGATTCGATCGTCAAACGGCGCGCAGTGCCGAGTCCGCGTTAGATTCAAAATATTTACATTCGCGTTCAGGAATGTATCGCGGGCCAACACGACGATACAATCATCGCGTCGAGTCCTCGAGATTTCTACCGCTCGTACGCCGAACAAGCTTAACTTGGATACTTTTGTTTCGTATTACGCTCGAATTAATCCAAAAAGTATTTTTTCTCGGCAACGCGATCGTAATGAAAATAAAATGAAACTCCGGGTACTCACTGTTGTAGAAATCCGCGTGCAGCATGTTTTCCGGCTCTCCAGCGGCCTCCATCATGATTTCCTTCTCCGTCATATCGTCTGACGAGATCTGAATTTCGGGTCCCGTCATCTGCCGTGCCACTTCCTGTTCCGTGGTACCGAATTGACTGAACATACTCATAACCGAGGAAAATCGAGTCGACGCAGCATAGTACGGTGACTCGTTCTGGTTCTGCTGGTCCTCCTGCTGAGTCGCGCCGACGTGGTTGTCGTTACGTTGGCGGCCGGACTCGGACGCGGATACGTCGGACTCGGACACCTCGGGCAAGCAATCGAAGTCGGGAACCGCCCGATCGGGCATCTCTTCGTCCCTGTAACCGTCGTCGATAACCGGGCAGTTGGTTGTCATTTTGCGAATGTATGCGAGTGTGTGTGTGTGTGTGTGTGTGTGTGTGTGTATGTGTGTGTGAAAATGTAACGTCGCGCGCGAGAGTCAACTTTAAGAGTGAGCAGCGGTGGTAGCAGAAGTTGAAATTATCGTACAGCTGCGTACCGCCGGCTATCGTGGCTCGCGCGTGAAGATGGTCGCGATTACGTGGCGCGGCCGAATCGAGATATCAATTACGCGTCGCGCTTTTATTACTCACCTCGATCGTGCTGTAAGGGATCTGTACAATTTCTGCAGTTTACCCAAGTTAAAGGCTGACATCCTGGAACACCGATAAGGGGAAGCCGCTGCGCCGCTTCTCTTTCGTAAAAATAAAACAAACAAAAACAACAACAAGAACAAAACGAGGAAGAAATTCGCGAGTAATAGAATCATGAATTTCGACTGACGCCTATTTACATGCAAATCGTTATTAAAGCTCCTTGCCGAACTCGAGTCGTCTGTATATACACGCGCTATCCCATTCAGACGGTACGTGTGTCGCTCGTCGCGCGCGACCTACTCCAGCCCTGTCTTTCTCTTTCCGCTCGCGCGGGGGAAACGAGAAGTTATCCCGAGCGTCCCTCGCCCCTCGCAGCAGCAGCAGCAGCACAGATTAAAACGTCTTGTGCTTGTCAAAGCTCGGCACCCGAGAGTTTCAACGAGCAACCCCTGCAGAGGCGAGAGACTAAAATACGCCCGCACCAACATCACCAGCGAGTTGCATATATACCGTGCACGAACGGCCTAATAGAACACGAAGAAAGTTCGCGAATATAAATTCACTTGGCACTCGCCGTATATAAATTGCGTATATTAGGCCGGGCCTCGAGCCGCGTCGTGTCCTTCTTTTTCGCGCGCCAAAAACTGCGTTTTTATATCCTCGAGCTTTTATGACCGCGCCGAGGATTATACTTATTTTTTAATGCCTTTTTCGAGCATGTAAATTTTGTCGATAAAAAGAGCGTTATACGACGATTTCGGGCGTTTACAGTTGGGAGGCGTAAGATTTTTCGCAAAATGTTTGCTCGACAAAGTCTCATCGTCGATGCTCTCTTAATCACCGAGGCCAGGCTCAAACGAGACCGAAGTTGCACAAGCTCCAAACTGTAGAGAAACTCGAGTATTTTACGTTTGACTTTGAGCGTAAAGGGTAGAGGCTCGCTAGTCACCGGGCCGAGACTCTCCGTTTGAAATTTCTCAACTCCTTTGGCGTTGTCACGAGCCACGGCTCTCAATGACGCGACGACGGTTTTTCAGCTTGGGAATAATTTGTTTTAGCCCCCCCTCCCGTTGCGCGAGAACCACGCGATACACGGCATTTTATTATTATCAATATTTGAATGCAAATTTTATTCTTGTAAAACTATTCATTTATTCCGGCGGGGGTAGCTGGTTTATTTAAAGCCCGCCACGATGCAGAAAGAGTGAGGGTTTTAGAGAGCTGCGAGCCGTTACGCGCGAAATATTGTTATATCGCTCGGCGCGCGAAAGAGGGACAATTGCGCGTCGTTTAATAACGATGCAATTTTGCACGCTCTCGAGAGCCAAAATATATATATCTGGTTGTGAACTATCTCTCGTCGAGTCTCGCGGATGGAAAACATTACTCGTTAAGGCAAAAGGATTTACGAATTTCTCGGTTGTACAAAATTGTGTGTTGGTTATAATGTACGTATACGCGCTCAAACGCATTTTAAGCAGATGTTCCTCCTCCAATGAAAGCACTTGATTACGAATTACGTTTCGGAAAATCGAATTTTCCCTTTCATCGACGTTTCTTTGTATAGTCAATTTTTATCGAAGTTTTTCCGCCCGATCGGCGTGTGATGAATAGAGAAGATGCCGAAAATTGAGAGAAAGCTGCACGCAAGGCATTATTTTCTTCGGAGGCGCGATAGGCTTTAACATTTCGCTATACATAATACCGAACGCATACGCTTATATGTATGCCAGCCATTTCGAGAAATCACGGGCAGAGAGTGATGCTCGGATATATACTGCGATATAAAGGCGCACAGACACAGAGACGATCGTATAGTATACGTTCTCGCACGAATCCAATTGGCAAAGAGCTTCAAGTGCGTCGTTGGCGTCGCTAGCCTATAGTAAATCTTGTCTCTATATCGCTCTATCTCTAGCTCTCTGTGTTCGTTTCTCTCCGCTCTGCGGAGATCTTCGTTGCCTATATAACACACAAACACACGTACACACAGGAGCGCAAACTAATAAGCACGAGCTCGTGCGAATCGATGCCACATTCGACTCCTGCGAGCTCTTGTCTGACTGCGTGCATGTGCCTTTTGTGCAATGGGTATACAGATATGCACCACTATGTATATACGTATCGACGGAGCTTGTAAAACATATATAGTAGTAGTAGTAGCTGATCGCACTGCGTTATATCGAAGACGACGAATCCACCTTGGGAATTAATTAACGCGGAGGTATAACCGATTGTATCTCCCCGGCAGGCTGCGACCGCACAAGCCGCTGCTTTTTCGTTCCGTTACACGCGCAGAGCTTATCGTTAAAACGCAGATATATATCCGCTTGTACCCGATATATATTATATGTACAGAGAGAGAGCTGCTCCAGTGGTCGAGAAAAGCTTTGTGTTTCGCCTTTGATCTTTACCATCCATTTTCACCTTTTTCTTTTCTTTTTTTTTTTTGCTTGCAAGACGCTGTGTGAACTGCTACTGCCGCTGCTGCTGCTATAGACGAAGGCAGAGAAATCTAGGTACGGAATAAAATTTTTGTAGCGCGCGAAAAAAAGATGCGATTAAAGGGCAGTATAGCAACGGCGGCCGCAGCGCAATTGGACCCCTCTCCCTAACAATGGCAAAGGCTTTTCTGCCCCGGTGTATACATATACGTACCACGTATGCAGTATATACGGTAGAGCGGTGCAAAAGAGTCTGTTACCTGCCGTACATATACATAGCTATACACACATGTGCGCTTGTTCGTTCTCGTCGAGAGCCGAGGCGCGACTATACACGGAGTTTAAGACGTGCCTTCTTGCCCGAAACACGCGAGAGTCGAGTAGAAGAAGAGGAAATTTTACACGTAACTGGGTCATGGAGTATAGCAACAGCAGCGAGTCACACTTGTTTCTTGCTCGCACATGCACGCTTGTTTCACCCTCTCTCTCTCTCTCTCTATTCTTCGCTACTTTATTTTTTATTTTTACACTCTTTTTTTCCTGCCCGAAAATTCTTGGGAAAAGATAATAATCAGATTGCGCCCGCGTGCGCGAAGATTATATAATACGCGCACGGCTGAGCAATGCGCTTTACGCCTATATATAGATTATGCTCACAGGGTGCAGTTCTATATACACGGGTTTTTAAATTCCTTTAAATTCCCGCGCTCAACGAGCATTACGATACGCGCGCGCACTTCGTTCGAAATCCTTACCATGCCGATATAGGTAGACTTTTTTGAATACCCTCGTGTTTATTATTCCATTTGAGCTTAGCTCTCGTTTGTTCATAAACTGCGTTTGGTCTGCTCCATTGTGCGCGCGAGGTAGAGAAAGGATATAATGCGCTTTTGGAAAATTTTCCGTACATTTCTGTTTTTTTTTTTTTTTTTTTTAATTTGTTAGCCGGCCGTTCATCGAAATGGCCCAAATGTAGTGGGGTTTCAATAATGTGCGATCAAAATTTTGTGTAAAAAATGAACAAGTTGCCCCGGTCTGCGGGGGAAAAAAGCGAAGTAGTTAATGCCGTAATGCGTAAATGTGGATGCGAGAGCCGAGAGACTAACGTCGAGCTTTTCCTCGCACTACATAACGCGGAGGCTAAAATAAACGATCATCGAGTTTATGTATGCAACACGTATGTAAAAGGGTGCACAATGACCTTGCTGTATACTTATACAACGCGAGTCTCACCGCATAAATATACGTTCGCCGACCTGCGCACATGTGTGTATGTGTGTGTGTTCACGTGTGTGCGACGTTTACCCTATGGCCTCACGTACCCCTAGTAATGGCTTATTCGATGCAGCCTTGCCCTGCTGAATACACACACACACACACACACACACACACATCACTTGGCCGAGCTGAAGCGTAAACGGTACATAACCCACGATATGGTAAATGTGTATGCAAGCGCGCAAAAGGCTGCTTGCGAGATAAAGCGAGCGCACGACGAGCTCCGGGCTGTGCTGCTGTGAGTAGACGTGTATGCAGTGGCATCAAAATGACCGAGAATTTTACCGACGAGTAATACGACTACTTCTTTTTAGGGGCTATTTTTTCTCGCTTCAACTACTCTCCTTCGTCCTGCGATTGATGCGTATATTACACGGTCGGTTCTTGTTGTTGAATTTAATGGACGAAAGAACAAATTTCTTTTCTGATTACGACTCGACGAACACGAGTGATAGCCTGAAACGATCCGGAATTTTACTAAAATTCACAGGGCAATGTTTGATGGACACTTTGCGATGGCTTTGAATCGGCAATTTTACTAGATTCGGGGTTTGACTTATATGATTATATACTTCATAATAGAATATTTTATTTAGTTTTGATCATTTTTTACATCATTTTGATTTCAAATAATTCAAATTCATAAAAACCCCTTCATTTGTTTAAATGCTCAATAGATTATACCTTTTCCAACATATATCAAAGCATCTAGGAATAAATATTGATAAATATTAGTACATAAAATCTAAATAAGTATAGTATAGGAAACAGGTTCACGGAAATAGCTGTATCTCAGTACAAAATTAAAATTTTGAAGTTTTGAATTATACAGTGGAAAGAGGAGGAAAAATCCTACTCAAAAATTCAATAAAAAAATTTTAAGTTATGGCGTTGAACTAAAATAGTGTTTCTTATAATTCAGTTACAGATCAGGATAAAGTAGAGATGTTTTAAAAAAATTGTCAATCCCGAGAAAAACTTTGAGACACCGAAAAAGTTGAGAGTCAAACGTAAGTTTCCATGAATTCTAATGTAAATTTTCTTGTTGAATTGATAGTAAAAAGTGCACAGCTACTTATCAATAATATATAACTTTCTAACACATAATTGACCTTAAATTCATTCATGTACAGCATAGACCTGGTTGGAATAATTTGTATGCTGAAGTAAATAAATTACAAAAAATAATTATCTCATTAATCATAAGTTTAATACCATCGAACCAAGCAAATATAACATGTCCACGTGAAAAATTAGCTTTATAAATGTTCATCACACGATCATTTTTTAATCTATTATTATTTCTCAGTTAATAGTTTTGTAAAATGTCGAACGTTGATTGACATGATAATTAAAGGAAAATATAAAAAATTAACAATATAAGAGGACATCGAAGGTAAAAAGATTTCGTTTTCCTCGAAATTAGAGCAAATAATATTGATAAACTTGTACGCTCGTTATAAAGTCTGAGGTATTTGAGTCTAGCCACGCACGATGATTGATCGTGCCTTCTTCCCGCTCCACAACGCGCGTAAATGGCGCTTGCGCGCGGTGATTAATTTTTCCGCAAAATTTTCAAGCGCGAGCTTATATGAGCTTCGATGAATGCGACGCGCACATTCCGCAAATGATGAATACATTTATCCGCGACGATCGTTTTTATTTTTGGGGAGAAAAATGAACTCAGATTTTCATTCGCGTCATTTTTCAAGTTACCATGGAGTAAAAAAAAAAAGAAAAAAAGGAAAGATAGACGTAGGGAAAAGGTTTGGCTTTATCGCTTTGCTTTCACGCAAATAACATAAACGTTGAAAGGAGTTTGCTCAAGTTTCATGGCTGAAAAAAAATATATAAAAAAAAAAATTTACAAGAGAATACGGTAAGATAAATGTTACTTATGGAGTTTTTTCCGGAGAAGGGGCCGGAGCAAAAAAATTTTCCTCTACAGAAAAGTGCGCGCGGTCTTTTGCCCGCAACTCTTTTCACGCAATACTTTGTTTGGTTTGCTTCTCTTTTTTTTTCAATGTTTTCCAGAACATTTTATTCGCTTATAAAAGTTCTCTCCTCTTTTAAATATAAAAAGTATACGTATATACCGTTGCAAATGTGGGATATGCGCGGCGTAAGTCGTATAAACGAAATGGCCCTGGGAACCGCGTGGCAGCTCTCCAGCAGAAGCAGTAGTTATAATCCTACGTAGTTTTTGCTTACTCAGAAATGCTCAACATCTAATTGTTTCAGGCGTGGGGAGTAAAGTGCAAGGAGAGAGAGAGAGAGAGTCCGGAGTTGTTGCTAATTAAGAAAATACTTGAAATTCTTTGGACGAGGGGGAGAGAGAAGAAAAAGGTGAAAAAGAAGAAAAACAGGTATTCGAACGATATAATGCAGTTTAGATCGTTACTTTCGGCAATGGGGGCTAATGGCAATCATAAAACACGAATTTCATTCTCTAACTTTAAAAAAGAAAGAAGTCACGTGTGTAGTGGCTTAGATTGCTGGATATACTTCGTTGATTACAGCTTTTACCCTCTCACGAAGGCTTAATTCTTACAATTTCTTACTTGGCGAAAAAAGATCTCTTACAGTCTGACCAACCTTTACGAAACTAGTGAATTTCGATTAACATGCGTATTGTATTTTCGTTGCAACCAATACACAAATTTTCAGAAAAAGTGCAAAAATCCTACTTCATAAAACAAACGCATCTTCTTATTTATCACGTTCGTTGCATATCACGGCCAGTAGACGACGTCGCGAATGTTTGCAATCGCAATTTTCTTTATAACCACGACTCGAAACCCTAAAAATATCCCCTCGCTTTAACGCAGTAGTAGTGGTAGTAGTAGTAGTAGCAGTAGCAGTACACAACGTGTATACCGCACACGCGTGTCTCGCTCGGTTCGAAAAATTCAGACTGACATAATATGTGCGCGCATGTGTGTGTGTGTGTGTGTGCCGCCGCTACACGACGCTCGTACACGATGTAGCTCGTGTCGTCTAATGCAATCGTCTAATCTCTCTCTCTATCTCTCTCTCTTTCGCTCGCTCGGCGTCGGATACCGGCTCTAATATGTAAAAATAAACGGGAATGAGATTCCGGCCACAGCTACACGTACACATTTATGCAGCGTGTCTCGCTACCTGTACATTATGTGTGTGTACATGTGTGTGTGTACGAGGTGAGCTTGCGATGCTGTGCGACGAGGTGTGAGCGAGAGAGCTTGACTATTATGTGCACGTCGAGCTCTCTAGGCCGCGAGCAGAGCTCTATAGCTAGCCAGAGAGCCGTGTGCTATAGGTGCTGCTGCTGTGCGCGCACGTTGCGCGTCTGCGCGCGCCGTGTAACGCCTTCGCGTACACACGAGCTCTATAACGTAGACAGAAGCAGCAGCAGCGAGAGAGAGAGCGACAGAGAGAACGATGCATCAGCGAACCGGCCGTGTGCTGTGCTGTGCTTGCAAGCTCTGCTACTGCTACGGCTGCTGACTGCTTCTGTGCGCGCGAGCTTGCGCTGCTGCTGCTGCTACTGCTGGTGGCGGTGGCGGTGACTCTCTCTCTCTCTCGCGGGCGCTCTCCTCTCTGTCTCTCCGTAGTTCAGTTGCTCATCTGCCCTGAAGCAGTGTGCCAGCCACCCCGCGCTCAACGCACCCGTTTAATATACAGATATATATAATTCACGTGTTTTCGCTATCGTCACTATAATATATATAATATATAACTTGGTTCATCTCATCGTAGCTCTCTCTATCTTTCTCTCCGTATACAGTGTCTCACGCGCGGCTCTCTGTGCGCGCTCGCTCGTCGACCGATCAAATTATCGGTGTGACAAATAAAGAGAAAAAAGTGATTATCAAAAAAAAAAAAAGCTTCTTCCGATAATTCGTCGCAGCACTCGCGCGGTCGATTCTGATCGTCGTTGCCAGCGCGTGTGCGATGTCCGCGATACAGTGAGTGTGAATCAGATAGTTGTATGGTTTATATATAAAACATCGATTTTCGCGCGTGAGAGAGAAAAAAAAGAAAGAATTACGCTACAGGACGACTACTGCTCGACTTCTCTCCGTAATGCAGTTTCTGGTTTTTGATGCGAAGCCTCCCGAGCCGGATTTATTTTCTCCTTCCTTTTTTTTCGTTCTTTCTTTTACTCTTCGAGTACCGAGAGTTGGAGTACGCACTCGACGCGTGCACGCGCATGCCTGCGGTGCATATACAAGTACGCGCAATTTACGAGTGTGCGTAAGCCGCAATATATACGACACAAGCGTTCCACATCGTAACGCGTAAGATATGTAGACGGGACGTGTATAAACAACCCGAAATCGCGATCAAAGTCAAAGGGAACATTTTTCGTGTAATTTCGAGTCGCGCACACGTGCGTACATATATTGACAGCTCGGACGATGTATGTACGTAATGTTATAAGCTTATATGTATACGCTACTATTGTAGCTGCAGACCTCGCGCGCAGATTGACGCTAATCAGCCGGTGAATATAATACAACGTATATACGTACGAACGGCTAAACGAATTTACCCGCGTCGACGTGTACGCGTATACGTACGTATTTTATACGAAGAAGAGGAAAAACTCGTCGCTAATACCTACGTTTCGCCCTTTTTCATATATACGCTTACCACTATTATAACTTGTTACACACATTGTCCGCACGCGCGCGCGGCTGTACATAACGTATACCCGCGTTGCCGCGTATTATACTTTATGCGAGAGACGGGAAAAAAGGAGCGAAAAGCTCCGCGACTATAAGGGAAAGCTTTGATGCTCGTACACACATGCTTGCGCGCCGTTACGTAACGCGCTTAAGATTTAACTTGGTCACAGACGCAGAAGAAGAAGCTTATTACTTCGAAAGTTGTGCCTTAGCTTTGCCGCCTCCGTCTTCGCCGCGTCGCTTAATCGGAGCTTTCGTGCCATCTTCGACGCATAGAGAGTATCGAGCATTCGTGGAAATTCTTTTTTCGTGTGTGTACCTCGAGTCAAGGTGTTCAAACGAGCTTAATAAAGCTCTTCATCGACGAATGCATGATTCGCGTTATATCGAATATAACAACGGTGGATACGACAGCGGTGGATTTCCAACGCGCTCATGTACGCATGTACGCGCGATGCATCGGCTCGAAAGCTCGCTGCAGGTGCGCGACTATCTCTCGCGCTCTCTTCACGCAGCGCTAATTGCGGCGCACGCATCCGCGCACACAAGTGGTTTATAACGCCAACGAATAACTTTGGCCCCCGTGCGTGCCAGCTCGCGCGTGTACGCAGCGATCGTCGTCGTATATAATAACGTACATATATAACGCGAGTGCGTGCGCGTGTTCAGCGGTGTGCCTCGAGTGTACTAGCGGATCGAGCACTACTACTAGCTGCTGTTCCGGAAAAGCGATCAGCGCTGCTGCTGCTGCAAGCTCGCCTCTATTTCTCATCGTGTTTTCACCCATCGCTGAACGGTGTGCGAGAGAAAAAAGAAAAGGAGGAAAATAAGGTTGAAGAAGAAGAAGGAGGAGGAGGTGGAGGGAAAATACACGCGCGAGAGAATCGAGTGGTAGTTGCTGCAGCATGATTATATTCTTCTTTCGGTTGATAGAAGAAAAAAAAAAGGAAGGCATCGACCACTAAGTAGAAACAATCAATCGTCACGAGCTCGCGAGAGACTACTACAGGTCGAGCTATATACGTATACACGTGGAGGATAGGGAATTGCTGCAGTCGAAGTGAGAGAGAGAGAGAGAGAAAAGTGCATTGAATTCGTTCTATTCCGCAGCAATGGATTTTCTCACTCTTTCTCTCACGAAGTCCGTAGGGGGGTAGGGGAGGAGGACTGTTGAAGACTACTACCACCGACTGCATAGAGAGAAAAAGAGAGTCAAGCGTCAGAGAGAAAGAGACGCTGGTGACGAGGAAACGAGGAATATATATATTTTTTTCCTTCCTTTTTTTCTATATCCTCTTTCTTCTTTTTTCTCGCACAATCGCAAACAATACACGGCAACTCGCAAGTAGTATATGCACACGCGGAATACGGAATACACGCGTATATTATATACAATGTGCCAACTAGCTCGTCTGTCACAGCGCTCTATATATACGCTATATATATGCACATAGCCGTACACACAGGTATACACAGACTACTTTTTCCGATTCAAATACGCGAGCGAGCGAACGCGCCCGGCGGAACAGCAGCAGCAGCAGCAGCAAGAAAAGTTTCAAACAAATAAATCCGGACGAGCTCCGCGCGTTCCCTCTCTCTCTTCTGTTGCATCCTATATACACCTATACACGTAGCTGTGTGTGTGTTTCGCGACTTACTCTAGCTCGCACTATGCACACTCCACTCTCTGTGCAGCAGCAGAAACGCGTGCGAGTATACTCTCCCGCAAGTGCGTGCTTGCGGCGGCAGACAAGCTTATATACAGAGAAGGCGGCCCGGTGTTTATACATATCGCGTATACGTAAGTGCACACGACGCACGTGCGTTATAACGAATATAAACAGGCGAGATATTTACACCGGATAGATCACTCGATAAATCGGAGATGCGGTATGCGTAAATGCTTATGGAATAAACGCGCGCTGGCAAATGTCGAATTGGCTACGCGTGTGTGCGAGCGACGAATATATCGATGTTATTACGTATACGAATGTGCGGCGTGTGCACTTCGCGTGCATCCCCGTATACGTAGTACACGCGACGATAATGAAAGTGTCGACGTTTCTCCGAGTTGCAGTTGTTTTTTCTGCTCGATGCGTAATAATACACGCGCTTAGGAACATCCTCGGATAAGAAGAAAAAAAAGAAATGTGATTGTTGCTCTCTGCCATCGTCGTCCAATCGTCAACGTATTGGAACCGGCGCACTTATCTCCCCGCCGTCGTGTATATGGCGACGAGTGTATCGTACCACAGGTAAGTTAACGAGAGTACGAGGACTCGTCGTCGTAGTGCGGACACTGCAGGCGTCAACCGGAGCAACAACGTCGCGGGCGATTGCGGCAGCGGCGATGATCGGGACGATCGTGGCGATGTCGCGCTACTGATCTCGAGGCGAGAATATATAGAAGATATACATTATTGCGAGCGACGAGGCTCGAGGAAAAGAGATAAGCAGCAGCAGCAGCTGTAGTGACAGAATTGTCAGAGATCGATCTTAGCTCATTCGCCACCTCCTTGGTAGATTATTTTTTGGGACATGGAAAAGGACCGCTATGTTCGAGGTGAGTGACAATTTCGCAGCAGTTTTTAACGCATTACCCATTGGTTTCGACACACAATGTCGAGTTTATAGTTTCATTGAAAATATACCACTTTTTCGTTAACGATTGACTATAACAAATTAGCAAACTAGTAAAAATGCCCAGCGTTTGTTAAGCAAAGCTAGCGATTTAAAATGTTTCAAGATAAGCGAGTACGATTGAGGTTGATTTAGTTTTTGGCGATTTTTCAAAGACGCATTCGAAATCTCAACCTCTTTACTAAATTTTCAATACCTTATACATTTTATATACATTTATTGTTACTTCGCCACTTGCGGGTACACAGGTAAATGTCCTCGCCATCTACTGGTGGATGCGTGAAATAAGTCAAAACTCGGGGTTTTAAAAATATTATCCTGGCATTTATAAAGTTGGAAAGTAACAATAGTTGTATGTAAGTCAAAGCTCGGATTTTTAAAAAAAAAGTTATAGTTTGACAACGATTTTGTCATCGAAAATTATTATTGCTGGTAATGAATGCGACATAATTAAATTCATTTCTAAATAAAGGCCTAAACGATTATGCTATTTAATCTAAACTCGAAACAACGAGTCTTCTTTATACCGAATTATAGAAAACGTAATTTTTTTTGTTGGCTATTCGATTTCACAGAGAATCGGCCGTATTATCCAGCAAAGAGGACAGAAACGGGTGAAAATTATACGTTCATTCGCTCAAAGGTTAGAGAAAGAGAGAGAGAGAGAGAACGAGAGAAAATGAGAGGAACGCTGGTTAAATCCAATTATCTGCGCGACAGTTTTCGGTCGATATATAGTGCGGGCGGGCGGGCGACACGTGCACACCGAGAAGAGGAGGCTTATCACACGCCCCGAGAGTTTTCAAACGAGCCACTGCTCTCTCTCTCTCTCTTTCTCTCTCACTCTCTCTCTAGACCAGGAGCAACATTTTCATCTCTGTTGATCGTGGAAGATGTCGTATAAACACGGCGCAATATTCGAATTTTGCATTTCTTCTGGCGGAGGAAGAGAGCCAGAACTGCGCTTGATTGCGCCTGGCAGCTGTGCTTTTGGGTATATAATATTATGTTTTGTTTAGATTAACGAAACTATCTTGCACGATTGTCAAAAATGTACTGGCTTTTATTTTCAACTATCGTTCAACTATGCTTGCTCCTCCAAATACTGCAACGCAACAACATTTCGAAGCGCCTGTAGAGCTCGGGTATAATTGATAAGCGTTTTGTGCATTTAGCGGAAACCTCGGCGGATTATAATAATTTATATATATCATATAATCGCCAAGCCCCTCCGGTGATATCACATTAAATTCGGTTGCATACGCGTATCGATGTAATGCCTACACATAATATACGCGTGCTTTATTAAGCGCATACATTGTAGTGCACGTATATCTTTGAACTCGCGCGCGCAAGTAGTGCGTGCGTTACGCGTAAAGTTCCCAAACTCATTTACGCGTTTACAGCGATGCTCGCGGGACTCGGTGGCTTTGCTCTCTATGCGCATATATTATATAGCGTGTAATATATATATATATACGGCCCCAAGCCACCCTATATATGTAAACTGGCGCGCGAATCGTCATAATCTCGCGGAGCTCGCGCGAGAGATGCTGCACTTCTCTCTATGTAGTACCCAAAGATAGTTGTATAAGGTACTACAAGTTGCAGTACGCCGCGCATATGCGGCTGTAAATGTGTGGTTTAGCGGCGGCATGACTTATATGTACGTATAATACACGCGACTGCGCACAAAACTACATAAGGATTTAGTTAATTGTATATGTACCGCGCGAATACCGCCGCCGGTTTATACTGTATAACAATAATAATAAGTGGCGACGACGACGACTATCTCGAGAAACTCAGGGCGTATTATACATTTAAACGCGCGCACATAGACAAATTAAGGCGAATCGCTTTGCTAGCGCTGAGCGCTGCGGCATTGCACTGTAAATTAGAGCAAAGGGAGAGAGAGATCCCCACGCGTATATACAGACAATTGTATATATGTGTGTGTGCGATACGTATGGCTCCTTCAATTTATTACGTCTAACTGAGTGCGCAACAGAGTGCATACTGATGTGTGTGTATATGCACGTTCGAGAGACACGCGTGCCATTTTCGATGCGCTTTGCGGCTTCGATATGCGTCGTAACTTTATATACCCGTGCTGGAGCTTCTTGAGATTTTTCATCTCAACGGTTGAACGATCGCTCGAGTATTACGATCGAGTCGCTTATACTTACGTTACTTGCGTCGTGCGACTATTTTCGTAAACTGAGCGCACAACTTGATGATTTTGTAAAATTTAATGCTGACTTAATGTATAATCAGACTTTGAAATTAACGTAACCCATATGAGCTTTTATTTAGGGTACTCTTACACGAGATCTTTGTTGAGAAATGAATGAGTACTGCTCCGTTTGTTCACATGATTATTTTTTATTATTATTTTTTATTATACTTCATTATTTCTATTTATTGTTTGGACCAATCCTATGTACGGGATCCTTTTCTGTATGATTTTTGTAATGAGAAGGAGTAATTGGCAAATATATTATAATTATAAGCTGGACGAAAAAGCAATCACATAATCTATATTCAATGCGCTGATGAATAAAAAAGATTTAATTATGTTTAATCAAATTTAAACATTTGACACGGTGTGCAGTTCAGAATCTGCCACGTGAACCACATACTCACATGCTCACCCTTACACCATATACTGCCACGTGAACGCTGTCAGTATATCACCACTAGATGGCGAGTACCTTTAAATCTGTTTATCTACAAGTGTTTGTGGATAAACAGATCTACATTATACAGATCTACATTATATATTTAATTTAACGCGACAATTCATGAAAAAGTCTTTTAATTTAGTTGCGCGTGGACACAAAAATCCCGAGCTAGCATCTTGCCAGCTTGCTAATAACTTGTATAACATAAAATAAAATCAATCTTTTATTCAGCAAAACTGATAGCTATATAGGCCTCGTCGCGTGTGGCTGTAAAATAGTGCGCATCAGCATCAATGAAACAACAGCGGAAATTGGAAAATCTTTTAAGAGAAGCATAGCATCGTCGTCGTAACGCGAGCAAAATCGTCGACGGTCGGCATTCCCAGTAGTGGCATCGTAGTACTGCGACGTGTCCTAGTTTCTCGGCTCTAGCGCAGCAGGCCAAAATCCCTGAGCAGCTGATAACAGCAGCAGCAGCAGTAGAGCCACGAGGCCATAAAGAGGCCGGTCCTCGCGTCGCCGTCGTCAACGAATTAATGTATCGGCCCCCCCGCCCCCACCTCGCGCGGACTCGCTGGATTAGGAGTGGCTGAAAATTTCCTAGCGTCAACCGCTGTGTATTTACTCGTTGTATCTATAGTACTACTACTGTTACAGGTGCGCGTCTGTTATTTTACATAATGCCAGAATGGCTGAGTTGTGGAGACGCTGCGACAATGTGTCACCTACATGTCGACGCTGTCATTATAATAATTTGCATCGAAACAAAAAACGAGGCCTCGAATTTGACGGCCAGTTTTTCGACGCTGACCCTTCGCATAATAATCAATCAGCTGTAGATGAGAGTATGTATTGTGTACGAGTATGTGTCTCCAACAGCTGCTCTATAAAGGCTCGGTTTAATCTTATTTTTACATTTATGCATGAGGTACATATTATGTATACCGTACGTATTTGACAGAGGATATTATCAATGCACACCCACGCATATAATCATGCATTTACGCGCGTAGCATAGCTGCAAGCGTTACACGTGCAGAATCCTCCGCGATGAAACGAGGTAAAACCGAAGTGGCGCGAGAGTCGTATTAAAATATTATCACAATTAAGAATTAAAACAATTGCAAAGTCAAATTGAGAAAGTCCTCATCCTGGAGATTTAGATCCTGCGTCCGAGCTTACGGAGATTATAACGCGTGGCAATGAAATAATTTGCTCATAAATTTAGCTCGCGCACGTCGAGAGAGCTCTATATTAACACAATCTCGAGGATAAATTTTGATCTCACCTTTATTTAATCTTCGCCCCGACACTCTACATCTCGATGTTTCAACTTGCTGCGAGTTTCAACAGAAGTTGATTCATTATCGGTGAAATCGGAGGACGTATCTCGAGCTCGTGGAGGAATAAATATTTAATAAGTTTTGAGCTCGTTTCGAAGAAAGTCAAATTCGATTGCGTATAGCAGACTATAGCCACGCGATCGACTAAATTTATTTTCAAACAGAAGTTTAATGCAGATTTAATTTAAAATCAGACATTAAAATTAATGCGATCGATTCTAAATTGTGTTTAAGGTACTTTTACTTGAAATTATTGTTAAATATTAATTTATGAGTAATCATTTATTTTTTTACATAAAGTGTACCAAAAATGCAGCAAAATGCAATAACATAAATTATTTTTAAAGCAGAAATAAACAAAATGAATTCATTTCGATTGGGTTTGAGCCTTTACTTTGATTAGCGCTTTGGTGATTTCAAGAACACCTCGATTCAAAGCTCAAAACACAGCATCACAGCTGACGTTTCGGTAGCGGACGTAAAGTTCAAAATCTGCCACATGAACTGAGCGCTGGCTTTACGACATGCTCCAAGCAAATAATAAAGTTTAAACATTTTGATTGAAATTGCTAAACAATTATATAAAAATTCAATCATAATGAAAGCCAGCATTCGCCACCAGATGGCGAGTATCTTTACATTTGTAAATCTGCAAGTGGCAAAGTAGAAATGATTTTATAAAGGCAAATTAGTGTATTAATTTTGATCCAATATACTTCTATATACATAGGTTTCAAAAAGACAATTTTTCTACACGAAATCCTCTATTTTTTAAAATGAATATCCTTGACTACTTTTTAATCACCGCTTTAATGATAAAAAATAGCGAGTAGCATCGCATTAAAGCTAAATCAATTTTTATTACGTGCCTTTGTTACACAAAACAAAACAACGGC